TATCCCAAGAGAAGGTCACTGTCCTCAAGTTTCATTTCTGGTTTTTCCTGGTGGCTGGAGACCAAGGAGCCTTCCCCTGAGTCTTGAGATGGCTTGAGGTTGGATTTGTGGTAGGGGCTGGAGGCTGACCTAGGGCTTCTCCTGTTAGTCTCAAGCCCCACCCACCTTGGTGCTCTAACCAGCACAAGAGTCCTGCTGCTCAGAGGGTTCCCTGCAGCCCCCCAGCCAGGGCCCAATAGCCCCACCCTGTGCCTTTCAGTATGAATCCAAGAGTCGCATGTCAGCAGAGGCTGCCCTGAGTCACCCCTACTTCCGGTCTTTGGGAGAGCGTGTGCACCAGCTTGAAGACAGTGAGTGTTGTCCGGGCAGGGAGCAGGGCCACCCAGAACCAAGGAAAGGGGGTGGTGAGTGTGGGTAGAAGAACCAGAACAAAGAGGCCAGAAGCCCCAGGCCCAGCTGAGCAGCCCTGGGCACCTGGCCTCCCCTGCTGGGGTTCTCACTGCAAACTGAGGGGGCAAACAGTGGAAATGAGACGCTGCCTCCAGGGCTCAGTTGGTCCCGCTCCACCCAGCTCTCTCTCCACCATGTCCTCTCCCCCAGCTGCCTCCATCTTCTCCCTGAAAGAGATCCAGCTCCAGAAGGACCCAGGCTACCGAGGCTTGGCCTTCCAGCAGCCAGGTAGGGGCTTGTGCTCTCCTGGAGCCCTTCCCTTGTTAGTGGAAGCCAGGACAGGCTACCCCTCCCCAGTGGGGAATCCCATGGTCCCTCCGCCACTTTCTTCCCTTTGGAGTCTTCAGGGAGCAGAGAAGGGGTTGGTTTCTCCTGCCTAGGCTTCCTCGTCCAGCTCTTCCCTCTTCAACCCTCACCCCAGACAGGACATTGTGTTTGACAGTAGCCCTGGCAAAGAGGCATGCTGTCTCTGGTGCATTCTCTCTGCAAACTCTGAGCTCTCTAATCAGATTCCATCCTGGGAGAACGGTCCTTTGTTCCTAGAACAGTCAATGGCCTTGGACATTGACAAATGCTTCCCATGCATCCTCTCCTTTAATCCTTAAAACACCCCTTGAAGTTGGTACTACTACTGTTCCCCATTTCATAGTCAATGAAACTGAGGCTCTGGGAGGTTAAATCACAAGACATGCAGCTAGTAAGTAGCAGAGATGGGATTTGACACCAGGTCGGACCCGCTCCTGCGTGCATGCCCTTGCTTGCTCTGTCAGAGCAGCTCTGGGGGACAGCGACTGTCCCTGCTGGTCTGGGGTATGCATTGGCCCAGCCTCCTCGCTGCAGCCCCACCTCCTCCATTCTCCAGGACGAGGGAAGAACAGGCGGCAGAGCATCTTCTGAGCCGTGCCCACCCTGCCGTGGCCCAAGGGACAAGAGATCACATGGACCACAAATTTGGGTAGGATGGAACCTGTGTGGCCCTCGGAAGACTGAAGAACGAGGGCTGACAGCCAGCCCAGAAGACCGTTTGGCAGCCCTGCTGGCCACGGCTGTTTCTTCTCTGTGCTTCCCACGTGCCTCCCCAGTAGTCCTCACCTGCATACCAACCCCTCCCTTACCCATGGCGGGGCTGGCATGAGCTGCTTCCCTGAGAAGACATGAGAAGGAGGGGGGACCTTGTACCCTCTCCCACCCTGAAGTGTTTGGGCACCTGCGTGGGACGCACATGGGC